CTAATAAATTTGTTAGTCTCTAAGGTGCCACAAGTACTCCTGTTCTTTTTGCGGATACAGACTAACACGGCTGCTACTCTGAAACCTGTCTCTAAGACTTTCCAGGCATCCTTCAGAAAAAGCCAGGGAAAACCAGACTTGACATTCTTGGTATTTAAAGTAAAAACAAGCAGAAATTTACACACTTTTTTCAGGCCTTCCCGATAAGGAAGCACAAACCCAGTTTTAAAGGTCTGCTTTAAAGAAACATTTAGTCTTCTTAGCACAGAAGTTGTCTTCATGCCCAAAACCATGTCTAAAAGGTTAGATGAACATATCCTCAGATACTATGATGTTAGAACCTGATAGAAATTGAGAACAGAGCAAGGAATACAAAAAGCCTCTTCAACTTCCTGGCTTCCCCAGACAAGAAGAGAGAGAATTGAAGGCCTTAATGACATGAAGTTGCACTTGTTTAATTGGTGTAATTTTAAGCTGATTTAGGGAAAGTTTCACTGGTTTAACATGTAGATGAGGCTAAGTGGTATTTTCAGCCATTTTTTAGGTGATTTGATAAAGCTCCAATGTGCCAAAGGATAAAGTTTTGCTAACTCCGGCTAGAAGCCTCCAGGCCAACCTCAATATTAAACATAATTTAACAACAATCTTCACTTTAAATCCGATCAATTCATTCATAGAGAAGAATGCATCAGATCACAGTAATTCCTGAATGCAAAGCACATTTAAGCTGGGTTTCATTTGTGTTCTCTCAGAGCAGTTGTTTGGTTTCCCCTTACCATTTCTTTCCTTAAAGCCTAATGAAACTCCTTTCTTATAAGGCAAGCTTGAACAAAATATATTCCATGTTATCCTGGTGTATTTGCAACAAGATCACGATGAATTTGAATATACAGAACACAGGGCCTGCTATCTTCCCAAATTATGCCTTGGTAAAATTTAGGGAGTTTTCCCGCACAGAGAGAAGGCCATAAAGAATGAATACTTCCATAGGTTTCTGTGCCAATGAGGCCATCTCTCATAAGGACAGCAATAATTTTTTGGAGGCTAAAAGCAGCAGCAATATCTTTGGCCGAAAATAAGGCAATGTAAATGAAACTCAACATTAAAGTTAGATTGTTCATAAGACATTGATGGAGTGAGACCATTTCACCCAAGAGGGAGTTTCAAAATTGGATTTTTTCAGTTCCTTTCGAGGACCTTTGCTTTAAGAAGTGCCTGAGTTTATAAATTGCAGAATTATTCTGGGCCTAAAAGCCCTTTGGAATCATTGTGTGTGGCTGTTTCTTTCCCTTGTGCTTGAGCAGGAAAGGATTTTTTTAGAATACAAATATTTAATTCCTTTTTGACTGGTGGTAAACATGTGCCACAGTCAGATGTGAGCTCGGGTTTCTTTGGGAATTTGGACTGCAGCCAGTGGGCAACCCAGCCGTGGGGGGGGGGGGGGGGGGGAGAGGAGGAGAGGAATGAGAAGGG